AATAAATTGAAATAGCAACACATTTATATATATCAACAATAGGTATGCCAAACACTGGCCCAATTCCGCCACTCGTTACACAGCACAAACAGGCTATGCATGTGAAAGGCTATATTTTAATTTGTGAAATTCCACCAAATTATTGTCTATAAATATAATAATAGCCCACAAATGACTACTAACGCAAAATACCATAATAACAAAAATTGCCCTAACTTTGTGTCGTCTCCTATGCGTCATAAATGACTCACTTTCACCACAAAATTGCAAGCAATTTAGCGACTTTTTCAGATAATCTCAGACATCTAGAGATGTTTCACTAAAAACTTATTGCTTCAATTCAAGTCAGAAATGTTCTTAAGCATTTCAAAGCACTAAAAATCAAAAAGAATTCTAACCACTAGTTGGAATGATGATGAATGAAAAAATGATACTGTTTATGAAAAATAACATAGTAAACCTTCATTCATGATTCTGTTTCACTTTAACAAAATTATCTCCATTTTCCCTATCTTCTCTCAAGAAACGTTCATTCCCTGAATTTGACATTCATGAATCCGTGAGTTATTTTGTGTTAGGAGGAGAAGGTAGGGGGTCTTTTACGCTTTTTTATTTAATTTCGCCGATTTAGGAAGGAAACATTCTTTTCATTGGATACAATGCAGCTTGATTGAACTTTATGAGCCCTCTATGTTATGCGGTTATGTATATGTGAGCTATATTTTGAGATTAAAAATGCTGGTATCTTTTGCTTTCAATAATGTCTAAAATCATACCATTGCACCGAACAATTCTTGATCTGAACCAAAGTTTTTGGTTTATTTTGAGTTAAAATTTAGTTATTTTGTATAGCTCAGTTTGTAGTGCATCAGGACTCCAGGTGTTGGTGTTGTGTTGAGAGCGGAAATGTGTCACTCACTACTGGCTCGGATGCTCCTGTGTTCAATTATCAATATTGTGGTAACTCTGATGTGATGGTCATATGCTTTTGGGAGCACCTGCAGTCAGTCAAAGTAATTTGGGTGGGGCAGTCCATGCCTGCTTTTGAACCCTGTCCATGTACACTGAACCCTGACATCACTCATCTGAATCATGAATGCTCTCATTATTGGGAACAGCGAGATCAGAGTGTAGCTAGCGGTCAATTCTTCACATCAAGTCCTGCTTACTGTGGGATTCAGCTATGTCATTCCAATTTCCATCCATTTCATCATTCAAGCTAAATTGATAAAAACTAAAAAGTCTTAGCATCTTTTGAATATATCAATGCCTCATTGGCTTGAAGTTGAACCATGATGCAGACAGTCTGCTGTGGCCAAAATTTGAATGAAGATGGGTATTAGGTTAATTTTTTGCTAGTTTATTCAGGCTGCATCTACATAGCTAGGTAAAATTGATTTATTCTGTATATTTTTACAACCTTGGAAAAATTAGCAGATCCAAGAGGCAACTCATTGCAATTTGAACTTGTTAGTTCTCCTGACTTTCAATCTTTAAGCTTTTAAAAATGATTGCTATCAGATTTATTGTCATTCATTTTTTGTGTAGGTAACAGCGCATCACCCTTTAATTTGTCTATGTCCTCTGACAGCCTTCTCACTGTTACAGAGCAGACTGCAGCCATGGAGGACAAGCCCCCGGCGCCTCCGGTGCGGATGGCCAGTGTGCGGTCGGGCGGCGGTGACCGCGCGCCCGCCGACCTCCTGGCCGGCCAGCTCTCCCGGCCACTGCCCAAGGAGCCCGACGACGAGCGAAAGCGCCGCCTCAAAGCCAAGGTCACCAAGAAACACTTTGACAAGCCGGCTATATCCTATCCGACCAATTTCGAGCACACGGTGCATGTTGGCTTTGACCCGACCACTGGCGAGTTCAGCGGCATGCCCGAGGCGTGGGTGTCGCTACTGAGCAGCTCCAACATCAGCATCCAGGAGCAGAAGAAGAACCCACAGGCGGTCATCGACGTGCTCAACTACTACGACGCCTCCAACAAGGACAAGGAGCACCCCAAGTACATGGTGCCCAAGTCGGCCGACCACAGTCACGGCAGCTGGGCGTCGCCGACGCGCTCTCCGCGGCCCAGCATCGGCTCTCAGCCGGGCAGCACGGCCGGCGCGGCGCTGCCCGGCTCGCGACACACCTCGTCGGCCTCGACGGCCACGGCCAGCACGCCGGACACGGCCTCGGCAGAGGTGGCCGACGAAGAGGAGGACGAGCCCGAGGAGGCGTCCCCGCCGCCGCCGCCGGTGGCCGCCCGGCCCGAGCGCACCAAATCCATCTACACTCGGCCGCTGGACGACGAGCCCACGCTGCCGCCGCCGCCGACACCGCCCACCAACGGCGCGCCGCTGGACACCAACAAGAACCCGACGGCGGCGCCGTCTACACCGGCGCGCAGCCGCGCCAAGAGCAAAATGACCGACGAGGAAATCCTGGACCGACTGCGCTGCATTGTCACCGTCGGAGATCCGCACCGCAAGTACACCAAAATGGAGAAGATCGGCCAGGGTGCGTCTGGCACGGTGTACACAGCCATCGAAACGGCCACCGGCTGTGAGGTGGCCATCAAACAGATGAACCTCTCCCAGCAGCCCAAGAAGGAGCTCATAATCAACGAGATCGTCGTCATGCGGGAGAACAAGCACCCGAACGTGGTGAACTACCTGGACAGTTTCCTGGTGGGTGAGGAGCTCTGGGTGGTGATGGAGTATCTTCCCGGCGGCTCGCTGACTGATGTGGTGACCGAAACATGTATGGACGAGGGACAGATCGCGGCAGTGTGTCGCGAGGTACTCCAGGCGCTGCAGTTCCTGCATGTCAACCACGTCATCCACCGGGATATCAAATCTGACAACATTCTGCTCGGTATGGACGGTTCGGTGAAGCTGACAGACTTCGGGTTCTGCGCTCAGATCTCGCCGGAGCAGACCAAGCGGACGACAATGGTGGGTACGCCTTACTGGATGGCTCCGGAGGTGGTCACCCGCAAACAGTACGGGCCCAAGGTGGACGTCTGGTCCCTGGGTATCATGGCCATTGAGATGATAGAGGGAGAGCCGCCCTATCTGAACGAGAACCCGCTCCGGGCGCTCTATCTGATCGCCACCAACGGGCGGCCGGAGATCAAGGAGCGAGACAAGCTCTCTGCCCAGTTCCAGGCGTTCCTTGACCTCTGTCTGGAGGTGGACGTCGACAAGCGGCCGACGGCAGCCGAGCTCCTCAAACATCCGTTTATGAAGACGTGTCGACCGCTGGCCAGTCTGCATCCGCTCATACTGGCGGCCCGGGAGGCGATTCGTGGTCACTAGCCGCCCGGTGACGAACGGTGACCTTTGGTGGCCAGCCGTAGCCCTCGGTGACCTGTGGATACCTTCGGTGACCTCTGGTGACCCGTGGTGGCGAGCGGTGGCTCTCAGTGACCCGTGGGGACCCTGGGGGACGAACCATGACCTTCAGTAACCCGTGGTAACCCTCGGTGACCTCTGGTGGCCTCTGGCAACCTCAGCGGTCGCCGCGGCCGCCTCTCCGATGACTGCCGTCAGTGGGAGCAATCCCGACACACGGGAGTTCCGAGACACGTCACATTTTTGTGGCCTCTCGCCGCCGGCTGCGTCCGAGCGCGTTCGGCGCTGTCTCCAGTCTGTCTGTCCGTAGGCAGAGTTGATTGTCTGTCAGCAGACGTAACCTCCAGGCGACGCGCAGTCTCCAGAGAGTAGAGACAGACTTACACACTGTATCCAGTGTCCGACAAATGCGTACTGTATACTGTATAGAGCAGAGGCGCTGACACAGCAAGTGTCTGACGTGTACAACAGACACAGCTTGCTAGGCGGGTCCGTCACGCAGCCAGTCGCCTCTCGGTCCTCAGTTGCCCGCGCCGCGTCTCTCAGCGCCTATCCAACGTGCAACTCTGACAGAAAAGTGTTCTTGGGTCCGGAGACTGACGAGGGAGGGAGGGAAGGAGAGAGCGATCGGCCGGCGCGCAGCGACATCGAATCTCAGCGTCTCATGGTCTAGGCCGCTGGCGTCTTTTAGCGGGGCAGCAGCAGCGCGCAGCACTCGTGTCGTTTTGTAGCTATCTAGTTGAGTTAGGCAGCCTACGCGCGGGGACGACCAGCCTAACATAGATGAGGGCGGCCGGGACCGCCTCACGCATGTTAATAATCGTATTGGCAATCTTCAGCTGCTATAAGAAGATTTCGTGATAACCATATCCTTTACTAAATAGCTTCTCAGTAGTAGCATGTTCTTGCCAATTGTGTTGAATGATTTGTTTTCCGCCGCCGACACTGACAAATAGGGACAATAAAACGTCTTATACTGAATTTATTCGAATGAGTGTACGTCATATTTTGACAGAACCCTTTGTTTTTGAATAAACACCGAAAACCTTACGGTCTTTGTCGTATGCAATATTCAGTGTTTTCACGTAACGACAGCGTCGGCCGCCGCACACGTCTCACAGTCATGCGAAGGTCGGTGGGACGCCCTGTGTGCTGCCCCTCGGTCAAGTCCGCTGGTCAGCCCCCCCCCCCCCCCCGTAACCAGACCGCCCGGAGTCGGACGTCCGAGTCAGCATGAAGTCTCAGTGTCAGCGGCGGGTCGGTACATTCAAGATACCTATAAATAACAACAGCTGACGGGCGGAGCGACGGTCTGCGTCCGCACCGCCGCGCCCGTACCGGTCAACCAGCCTGAGACATGGTGTCTGGTGGGAAAGTGTGGAACACGAACTGAAGAACGTGACGGTATGAGCACTGCAACGCGGCTCAAAACTGCGCCCAGCGGCGTGCGGGGAGTGACTCATTCACGCGGCTCATTCCCTGGAGTTTGAGTTGAGTCATGAACTCATGAGACATAAAGGAAGTGTGCCCAGGATTTATAGGCTTTTGTCACCGGCCCCCTAATCCGTTCTCTATTTAGCGCAACAAGATGCGGTCGCTCGACTTCGAATTCCTTGAGAATCAGATTGATTGAGGATTTTGGTACATCTAAAGATAGTATGCACTGATTTGTTTATTTCCAAAACAGGCAGTAACATTACATAAAACACACATTTTGAAGATATCTACTCATATCCCGCACGGCCATAGCATACCATACGTTCGCACACGGGTCCGGACCTCACCGAGACTCTTGAGATAACTGCACAACGACCCCCACTCCGCACGAGCGCGCGAGCGCCGTACCCATATACATTAGCTCACGTGCTGTACCCTCAACTGTGTGTCAACTGCGCACGCCATTCACTTTGGACGGCAGAGCAGTCAGAGAGAGTGGGGGAAAAGTTGGGTAGAACACGGAGGGTATTCGGCGCTGGTGGGAAGGGATAGGTTTCGCTCTCACTTCACACGCGATCGCAGCAAGACAGCCAGACAGGTCACAGTGAACACATCGATTGCATATGAAGTGTCGATGCGACATAGTGTAACTTGAAGATCCCTCTGTCAACCGCCAGGGCCGAGGATTCGTACAGGACACGAAATCAGGTTCAGCTGTCATGATTGGTGGCTTATTCACGTGACACGAGGCAAGATTGGTAGATTCACTGCTAAGAAGCAAAACGGTCCAAAACATCGAAGACAGTAAACACAACATAGCTAAAAACGCTTACCAAAGCGTCTCTTGAAGTAAAATGAGCAAAAGACACTCCATCTTGCGAGAAGGCGTCGCAAACTTGGTATCCACGACAAGAATGGTCGCAGCGGTTGAACAGAGCCCATCACATACGGCAGATCCTCGACCCCGGCAAGACACGAAGCTCAGATGAAAACTCGGTAACTAACAGTTTGTCAACGCGTGTTCAATAAATAACTGCACACGCACACGCACGCGCACACCGGAGAGGGATGAGGGCTGGGCTGAGCTGAGCTGGGAGAACCGCTGTCATCAGCCAGCGACCCCCCAGCGCCCGCCGCCACACCCGCCCTCTATATTTGTACCCGCGTCTGCAGTTCAGTTCTGGTTGGCGCCACCGTCCACAGGTGGCGCTAGTTGCCGCCGGTCGCCGGTCACTGGCCCGACATCGGCGGTTTGGGCGGATCTCGACTCCGACTGGGCGAGTCGGAGCCATTCGAATCTGAGGAACGGAGCGAAACAGGCGTTACTATCTAAAACATTTCAGCAAATATTTCACAGAATTAATATTCTTGTCAGTCGACAAATAGGTCGGTAATCGAGCATGAAAACGACGGTAAAAGGGCTTGTAGATATACGGTAGTCGAGCCACGGGCCTCAGCAGCGTATAAAATAGGTGAAAATTGCCGGCCATCGGCGCCTGTTTTAGGCGGAGACTTGTGACGGAAAACCTGACTTGCCATCCCAAACGTGTTCGAAAGAGGCCGATAGCATAGCAACTGCTTTGTAGAATAAATCATCTTAATCAGTGATTAAACGTTCATTTGACTCACCTACGTCGTCTTTTTGTATGCGCACTATATCGTCTTTACCGACTTTCCGTTTCCGGGCCGCCGCCGCGTCCTTCCCCAGCGGCGACTCGGTCTCCGGCGGCGTCTCGGCTGGAACAGCAGTGGCAAATCGTTAGTCAGCTCTAACATGCTAATAATGAGACAATCGGCTAAGCTATCGCGGTTGATCACAATTGACACCAGAAAGATGAACTAAAGGAAGTCCCCAAGACTGTTCATCCAGAGAGCATACTACAAATTAATGAGACGTGATGTCTTCCCGTCACAATAACGCAGGCATTGCATTCCCAATCTGAAATTTACGTGCTCAGCTCTCTTCCCAACTGAGATTGACACGTCAAGCCCCGTAGTCGCATAGGTGACCTATCCGTGCTTCTATCCTCAGGAACTGAAATCCTTCTCCCCCACGCCACAACCCCCTTCCGGGCTGGACAGGCAACTTTATCTCATGCGGGCTGCCCCTTGGAGCGGCACCGCTGCTCCCGAGGGAGCGCACCCCGTAGCCGGGTGCAGTGAGTGCCTTGGGGCTGGGTGGCCTGTCCTCTGGACGGGCTCAGCCCCGGCGACTCACTAGGGTGCCTGCCCAGACCAATGTCTCCCCCTAATTCCTATCATCCTTCCGGCTCTGCAATGGTCTTGTCGACCGAAAGGGCCTAACCCAACAAAACAAACAAACAAACAAACAAACAAACAGTCGCATAGGTCATCCCGATAACAGAGTTGGTCCCTTCAATACCTGAGTTTATGTCGACTGGCAGACAGCGCTTTTTGCCTTTTCTCAGAGGCGAAGCCACGCCTCCGATCTTGGAACCACTGGAAGCAAGAAAAACGGTGTTATCGACTAAAATACGAGGAACCGGACGACCAAAACAAAACAAACCCGACCTTGTGCCGAGCGTGCAGCTCGCATAAAAGTAATCAAAACATTCAAAAATGACGAAAAGGTACACATACTCGTATCTAACCAGTTAAACAAAACAGACCAAACACAGATTCATTTCCCAAACAGCTCGCTCGTCGCTATCAGCCCGGCCGACATACGGATTGAGCGCTGCGGGGCTGGCGGTGGGGTCTGCCGACCCGCCCCCGATGGTGGGGCCGGCCGAGCGTGGCCTCTCCGAGGTGTCACCGTCGAGAGGAGCGGAGGCGACGGGCACGGAGCTCCTGAGAACGGGTGACGACGAGTGGTTAGAGGCGAGGTTATACTGAGAGTTTGATAAATACAAACAGGGAGCATGTGCGCAAAGGGGGAATATGTGGATTGCAGAGTCACACAGGAGACACACAGTTCACACTCCGCAGTACCGGTCAGGATAAAGGTGAAAACACAGTTGTTAGGAAGTGTACTGTGCATACCGCACATGTATTATGGATACCGGCTCTGATGGAGGAGATAGTTCAAAGAGATTGTGCCGAGTGTTTTACCAGAGAGAGACGTAGCAAGACCGCTGATGCTAGGCTGGGAAGCTTAACAGTTCAGCTGAGGGGGCGGAGGCCGGGCATGGTCCACGCGGCAGATTGCGAACCATGTAGCCCCGTTGATAACATCGTGGCACTTGGAGACTGGGGTTATGACTTTCTGGTCGGCTGATTGGCAAACAACTGGAGTTACAGCGAGTTGACAAAGAACAAATGCAGGAAAGTGAGGAAACATCAAACAAACATGTGGGAAAGCGTGGAAATGGTCTCGGAACGGAAGTAAAAACCATGGCAGACAATAACGTCGATAAATAGGTAGTATGGAAGCTAGTGAACATAGATGGAGTATCCACAGGAAAATAACACACCTCGGTGAGTCCAAGAATAGAACAATAATGTCACAAAGACATTCCGTTCGACGTAGCAACGCTAGAAGCTAAGATTGCTTTTAGGGAGTTGACGTAACGCCCGAACGTCCGAGCGTAAAAAGAGTTCGCTCCTAAAATGCCGGTGATTCCCGTCAAATAACATCTAAGCAGCTTATCCGACGTTTCCACTAATTTCCTCGAGTTCAGTAGTTGTCATGGAAACTGACATCGCTGGCATCTGCCCAGCAACGCTAGCGAAAAGGATCTGTATGACTCCCGTCTCCTACACCCTGTCCTGACACAATACATCAAGAGTCAAGTGTGTTTCTCAGCTCCCAGGAAGTTCAACGCACTCGCGGTGGACGGGAAGCGGTCATTTCTGAGTCGGCCGGAAGGACAGGGCACTGCTCTCTGAGGAGACTCGCGTTAGTCACGGCACGGGTCAACGCCACGGGTCAACGCCACGGGTCACGAACTCGTGCCCGGGGGGGGGGGGGTTCAGGCAGGCGGCTGGAAGTGACCCAGAAATAACGGCCGGTGGGGCTACAGCTCAGCTGCGCAGTCGAGATCAGATGCTACTGGAGTAGTTGAGAATCCGGGCGGCGATACACGTCACTGCAATTTGGAGCCATGCTAACAGCTCACTCTCCCTGATTGGTAGACATGGGATGAATTTGTGGGGAAAATGTCTATACTGGAAATGCTTCCTACACTTGAATAGAGTAAGGTTAGCGACAACTCTACCAGCGAAATTGCTATTCGGTGTTACGTCAGTGATTCGGCGCCACCGTTCTATACTTTTCGTAACGATGGTTTTATGAACACCGACCAATTACAACTGTCAATATATGCATCGTCATGCATTCGCTGCAAAACAGCAAACAAACTACATTTCTGACGACCCCGCTGACCCCATCCGACAACCACAACCTAACAAGCCCCGCGCTCGCCCCCCCCCCCCCCGTTCTCTCCCTCCACTCACCTGTCCGCCGGGGCTCCGCGCTCTGCCCGTTCCCTGTTGCTCTCTCTCGCCGGCGACTGAGCTGCGAGTCTCTCCTCCGCGGTCGACTGCTGCGACTGACCCAGGACGGGGCTCCCGCGCTCGGCCGTCGCCTGATCGCGCCGGTACACACTGTCAATCACCCGATTGATGGCCTCCGACATGCCGATTTTCACCTCCACGCCGTCCCCATCTGGCCGCTCGGTGCCGGTGCGTTCCGCGGCCGCGTGCACGGCGGCAGAGGCGGCGGCCGTGTCACCGAGTCGCTGTTCCACCGGGCCCGGCCTGACCCTACCCGGAGCGACCGGTGAGCGCGCCGGTTTGCTCATGTCCATCGCCATATCCTGCGCGTAATGTCGCGAGTCCGCCGGCGGCGGCGGCGGCTTGGTCGGTGTTTTCTGCGGTCCACCGACCAGCGCGGTCGGCACACTGGTCACACTTTGAACCGTCACTGTGTTGGAGACTTTCGGCGGCGGCGGCGGCGGCGGCGGCGGCGCCCGGCCGGCCGGCTGCTGCCGCGAGTCGAACTCGTTGGTGAACCACAGCCGCAGCGGGTCGCCCTGCCGTTCCGTCTCGGCGGGGTCGCGCGGCGGCAGCATGCCCTCTACCACCCTGTCCATCAGGCTCGAGAACTGGACCTCCGTCTCGGGATCGGACGGCAGGGGCGCCGGCGGCGGCCGGGTCGAGCCGCGCCCGGTGGTCGCCGGCGCCGACACCTGTACCGGGGGCGGCGCGGAGATCTGAGAGGGCGCCGGCGCCGCCGTGGTGGCTGCTAACGTCAGGTTCAGCGGCTGGGCGTCGTCCGAGAGGCGCCGCTTGGAGCCGCCGTTGACGCTGCCGTTGGCGGTGCCCAGCGGCGCTCTGGGAGCCAGGTGGGCCGGGTGGTGCGGAGGGTGCGCCGCCGGAGCGGAGTGGTGGTGGGCAGACGGTGGAGCTGGTTGCGGCGGCGGGCCGGGCGCCGCGGAGATCGCAGGACCCGTCCGCTCCGTCGGAGGCCGAGACATCTGTCGGGCAGAGGACGTCGTCAGAGCGGGCCTCGAGACTAAATCGTTTACTCTGCAGTTCTGCACACCGGGGAAATCCCAACAAGGACACGAATATAAACAAAAACCATCCAGTGCAAGTTCCATGATAAAACTCGCTACATCCCTATCAAACGACTCTCGCAGCGAGTTCTAGCAATTACCAGCATATCGCTTACAAACACTGGCTAGTTATCCAACCGCAATAAAACGGTCCTCGTCCCATCCCAACCCCCTCATTTCCATACAAGCCCCGAATGGCATCCCCTACCCGCTCCTCCGCCACGCCACACCGGACTTTCCGCTGCACCGACCGACCAACTCCAGTTTCTCGCCGAAGTCACGACTGGACGGCCATGACCCAGCCAGTCTGCCGACTGACATTCTCAACATGGTCGGAGAGTTCGCAGCCTGCAAACGAGCCCGTGTCCCTAGTCCAGTTGGGCGGCACGAAATGATCTAATCCGGGGCGGCCGCTCGGGCGAGACAAGAGCGCGCCGCCGTCAGCCAGCGCTGGAGTGTATCACCGAGAGCTATGATCAGTGTGGATGGAGATGGAATGGCTACATCACCGTTCTGGCATACCGGTTTGTCTTGCCGCCTTATTTGGTATTTAATCATTTGAAGTGACGGATTGAGATTCATCTCACGCCATATTATCTTTTATAACAAAGAGCCTACTAGACACAAAATGCGACTGTCTGTCTGTCTGATCAAAAATCGACGCTTTTATAAGCCGTTAACGAAGTAACGTCCGTTGGTTATCACCCTGTCAGCTCCTATCGCCCACCGATTGCAACACCGTGTCGCCGGGCGGCATTGTGAACCAAGGTAGTCAGACGGGAGGCCCGCCAGCTGTACGGGCGCTGCACCGACACCGGGTGACAGCACCGAGCGCCCCAACACCGAGCGCCGGCCACCGGCAGCGGACAAAGGGCACCGATCAAAAACAACGCGACACATGCCGGTTCTTTTCGCGCGGCACCCCGACAGCGACAGCAGGAGAAACATACGCCAAACCAGCGTAATCACAAAAGACGGATAACACACAATAGAGAATGTATGAAGAGTGCCGATTGTTAATCCCTCCGTACAGAGATTAATGATGATCATTAATGAGTGAACAGGATTAACCAGCAGCAAACGTCGCAAATCACGCGGTAAACAGTTCGGGAATGTGCTGCCGGTCTCTGCCGTCGTAGCTCTAAAAGAAAAGGTCACTGTACTCGAGCAAAACCACAAATAAGGATAGAAAGTCGGCGCCATAGTCACACAAAACAAACGAATGAAAGAATCAATACAAATAAGGAAAATATATAAGGAAATATACCAACACCAAACAACAAGTCACAGCTCACGAAAGGCCCAGGACAGCTCTGATACAAACTGACAATCAGTAGTCTGTTCGTGTGTTGTTTTCCTCCGACAACTCCAGAGTTGTTCTTCAGACAAGTCCTCCCACCTCCGCACTAAGAGAGAACCAGAGGAGGCTCAACCGACCGCCGGCGGTGCCAACAGCTCACTGCGGGCTGCTGTCGGGGCCGACGGTACCTGACCTCCCCCTCCCTCCCCATCGACGTCGACGCAGGTGCGGTGCGCACGGTACAACCCCCGCCGCTCGGCTGGTTGGCGCGCGCTGATACGTAAAAATCACCGCATCCGGATTGTTCAATGCACCGTGCAGAATTATATTAAGCAGGGATGCGGAGCCGGAGCCGGAGCCGGAGCCGAAGCCGCCGGAGCCGGCATATTTTGCCCGGAGCCGGAGCCGGAGCCGGAGCCGTGAAACAATATAGCCCGGAGCCGGAGCCGGAGCCGGAGCCGCCAAAAAAGGGGGCGACTCCGGCTCCTTTTTATTTTTTGAAGAGGAAAAAAAATAATTGACCTAGTTCGGTTTGACAGTACAAGGCAGTAAACCATATCGTACTATTGGTCTCAATATAAGTGCCCAGGCGACCTGTAGTTTTGATGCGGTGAATACCCTCACCCTCGCCACAATGCGAGTAGGGGTGGCGCTGGCTGGGAGGAGGGGTGCACTCGGCCCGAGTTGTGGCGAGGGTAATGGTATTCACCGCATCAAAACTACAGGTCGCCTGGGCCCTTATCTTGAGACCAATAGTACGTCATGGGCCATCAAGTGCATGGAAAAGCCGAATATCCCCAGTATCCCACAGTACGCAATCAACTTCCTGTCTGCTCCTCCCCCCCCCCTCACGTCTACTGCATCCCCAGAACATGAGGACCGGTCATCAGGTGACGGCCATTGTTTTGAAGCCAGTGCAGTGGACTGCGACTCCCAGCATCGTCTCTTCCCCCCCCCCCCACCCCCACCCCCCAATGCAGCCGAGATGGGTGTCAGCTTACGATGGTCCAGTGAACTCCGATTCGCGGCGACTGCGTTTCCAATGCCATCGCTTCCTAGTCCTTTGTTCTGCCAGTTCTCTCCGAGGTGCGTTTGCGCGGGGACGCGGTGAGCCGGTCATGGCAAGAGTAGGTAACGCGTATAACCAATCCAATTTTTCTTCCACCCGTATTTAATTGATTGCATAGGGGATGTACTGAGTCGGAGCCGGAGCCGCCGGAGCCGGAGCCGCCGGAGCCGGACCATTTTACTCGGAGCCGGAGCCGGAGCCGGAGCCGCCATAACATTTCACCCGGAGCCGGAGCCGGAGCCGGAGCCGATTTTTTTCTCCGGAGCCGGAGCCGGAGCCGGAGCCGTTTGAAATTTCCACGGCTCCGCATCCCTGATATTAAGGATGGATAAATTGAGCTGTGGCGTATGCGGCGCATCCCGGACGCATTAGGGTAATAGTTTGTTACCAAGACGTACTTTGATCGGGGATAACCGGTGCGTGGTGCATAATTAGCTAATAAATTCATCAAAACATCACTCATAGGCAAATGACGATACAAATATTACTAATTATACGAAAGACCAGCCTACTTCTTGCGCATAAGCAGGTAACATCGACATTTTTAGCCCAGTGGCGAGTCCGCCTCGCCAGAAATGTTCTGTCTTCTTACAAAGCGTCGTGACCAGCGGACGACATCCTACATCGACCGAGCTCGAGCTGCCTGTTTACACACACGATCGCGATTCTTCCGATAATATCCAACACTCGTACCATCCGCTACTGACTCACGAATATTCACTCACACATCCGACCAATCCAGTTTCACAGTTATCCCCCTCATCCCTATTATCGCCTGCCAAGAGCGTAACTAAGCATCCGGTTCGCCAACGGCTCTATTCCGCCACGCTTGACGACAGGCTCTCCCGCTGCCCTCGTAAATAATGCATGCTCGTTTTGTGCCTGAGATGACGGCTGCCGAATACGGACCAGCGCGCTGTAGGCGTTCGGGCCGGTCTAGCCTCTTACGGAGCAAAAAAATTATTTTGCTTTTATGAACACAAAAAGCATACCAATCAACTACAAAATGTCCATACATTATATAAATGACCATTATCTGGTCGTGCAACAACTTGGTATAGGGTGAAAGGGGCTTCAAACACAAAGCTTTCTTAGGCCGTGGACAAGTCATAGTTTTCGGGTGTTTGAAGAGTCAAAGTAGATGCCATGGGGATCTTATGTGCGTGAGTTTTACACGCCAATGATTTTATGAGTTGTTCTGTGACATGTTACGATCAATTCCGCGCAACGAAAAATGAGGTTGCGAAAATCATTTAGCAGCATGAGAGATAAACATATCACCGAGTTATTTTGTATGCTTAAAATTAATATCACTCACTATGTTAAGCCGATCTTTTGAGTTCCCCCAGGTCCCGCTCTAAATCGAGTGTCACCATGTGCATTGTGATGTTATTGAACCGGCCAAGCAATAAAAAAGTGCGCAAACTTGCGCCATTTGCTGCTATGCAACATTTTGCAATACGCCGTCTAGCCTTTATTAGCTCCATAGTGACGGGAGCGAACAAATCAGCCTGCATTTTAGCTTATATTATTTCAAGTGATGACAGTAACACCAGCCAGTGTTATCTCGTGGGTCAGAAGCATTCTTATTTACCGGAGGATGAGCTGTCACGTGACCGGAAAGGCCTCAGGCGATGCACGGTGGGCGATCCGGCCGGTCTGGTCTCGCGAAACCTCAAACACATTTTGTGTCCTAAAAAAAATTGAGAAGTATTGCACATGAGTTAATGGGAAATTCTGCATAAGTCACGCCACCCCCCCCCCTCCCGAGGCCGAGGGGGGGGGGGGGGTGCCGCCCCCTTATAGGTTTTAACGCGATAGCTCACAACACGCCGGCGATAAAGAGCTGAAACTTGGCGTACTTGATCTTTGATTCAAGCCGGATCTTGTTAAATCAACCGCATTTTCAGGTCAGGTCAGGTCAGGTCGCTGACCTATGACGTCATAAGTGAACCTCTGCACGGTCCTCAGATGTTGCAACGTCGCAACGCCCTCAGTGCCAGAGGGACGTTCACAGGGAGATGAAGATTTCAGGACGTAGCATACCTACCCCGAGGTCTCACAACATGTATATTTATATCTCGGATTTTTTGCTAAAGTTCACATGCGGTCAGGTCGGTCGCGTGATCTCACCGTTATAAGTCAATGAGGAAAATATGGAAGCTGTTATTTTAGCGCCAGGAATGATCTATAACTATCTCAAGCACATGGAATCATGGTTTCATGCGCTCCCTGCAAGGTACGGTGCTACACCTTTGCATTGCTAACCTTGCATGACGTCATTTATGACGTCACTAGGGCCATATTAGTTTTCCGTCAATAACTCCGGAACAAAGTAAGTTAGACAGTCGCCCTCCTTTGACCAAGTTCGTGACCTGAGGGACTCTGACCAGACTTTGACTCGAGGTCAACGACTCAAAACCTTAACCTTCGGACTTATATGTGGTCGAACGGACCACCCTCGTTTTTTCACGAATAACTCGCGTAAAAAGTGGCCGATCAAGACGAAACTTTCAGTACATTCGAGTTCATCAATTTCACACCTACACTGAAAATTTCATGACCCTGACCCCAATGACCTTTGACCTGTGACCTATTTCTCGAGACCATGTTTGGCCGGAATCGCGATTCGGCGTATGTCGGCTCACATTATCCGCGCCTTTGCAGTCTTTTTGTGGTTTCAAACGTTCAACCATGTGAAATGATATTGGTTCCATGCATTATGCTAGGTGTCAAGGTCACCTGAAGGTCAGGTCAGTTCATTGACCTTTGGTGACCTCGGTTCACTTTTTCGAGTTTTACATGTTTCTAGGCTAGTTTTTGGAGCTGATTTCGAATTTCGCAACCATTTGAGCATTTACGAAGTAGTTTTGGTGCCTTCGTACGATGTTACGAGGCTGTCAGTAGCGGTTGACACCTACTATGAATACCCGGCAGGACGCATACTGGCTGACCTGACTTGACCTGACCCGACCTGGCCTAAATGCATGACGAAATCATCTGTGATCAAAACTAGCATGAAATTCGTGATCGGCACCCCGAAAAGCCCCAAAGCAACCTCACTTTACGATGTTCTAACAGGTTCCGATTTTCCCGACTTTTGGGAAATTGACCTGCCCTGGAAGGTCAACCAATGACCTAGGACCTTAAAATTGGGTATCATCAGCTTTCTCTCATCACGGGCAGCAACCTCGTTTTTTTCCGCGAAGCTCTAGCTCGATCAGGTGCCAAACCGCAAGGGGGAATGGAAGTGCTCCGTTTTGCCACGTTTATGCAACATTTCATGCAGTTACTGCACATTGCGAAAGCTTATAACATGGGAAATCGCCATGCATTCACGTTCTTTAATGAATTTGCTACAGTTTGGTGTGTAATTCGTAGGCGTAGGTCTCCTAGATCCAAGGCTATAAGGGTTGAAAGGTTGTGAGAGGCTAGAACCCTTGAAACGCCCACTGTGCAGCGGTGACAGCTGCCGACAGAGGGAGAAGGACGCTCCTTGCCGGTATGGTCTACTCAAGGTTGGAAAGGCCGGAACGAGCAGAGACGATCCAAGAGCATGCTATTACTTTTGTACAAAACATGTCGCTAGTGGCAAATTTTCGCGAGTTTAATAAAGTCATTCAGATCCGAGCATGTTGCATCAGGGTTTAGAGGCTGGGACGCACCAGCATCAGGCTGTTTAGGTAGGCGTTGGGAAAATCTACAAGCATGAGCGACTCTGATGGCTGAACTTTTATAATAATTAGAGATGCTTTATGCCTTGCATCATGAGAGCCTGGATGGCTGTTAACGAGTTATAATTTTAATCACGACCAGTCAGAATTAGTGCTCAGTCCCCGTTCATTCCCTTATACGTTTTTGCCGCAAAATGAACGCCAGCTCCCACGATATCCTTGATGCCTGACAAATGGCACAGCCCTAGAGAGCAATCAACCAGTATGATTTACTGATATTTGGCAGCACTCTCGCCCTCCAGCCCACCACACTATCCTGTCTCTGTCCCTCTGTAGCCTCACCTCCGTCACTGGCGACCCGAACCTGGCCGGGTACTCCATGAGGTAGCGTTTCTTGGGCGGTCGCGGCGTCATGGTGGCCGGCGACTGGGTGGCGAGGGGACCCTGACGACTGTCGAGCGCCGCGCCCAGCCGGCCCATCGGCCTACCTGGGTACGAGGAGAGATACAGGGGTCAGTACATAGCGGCGTACATGACGTGTACACTATACAGAGGTGAATATGGTGGTCACAAGGAGAGGTCAGGAGTACAGGAGAAGTACAGGAGACAGTACGCTGCGAGGTGAGGACCGGAAGTTAGTAATAGAGGGCTACCACCGAATGTACATACTTACAGATGGTGTGGGAGTCAGTACCAAGCGTGGTACAGAACGGGGCACCAGCAACTAGGAGCTTATCCAACACCACACCAACGTTCGTAAACACAAACAACACACCTAAACCTATGACGCACGAAAGCCAGAGCAGTGACCCAAGCGCAACGAGTACAGACAAGTGAGCCTGCACCACAACAAATGGGAATACACAGCAGTGCAGCACACTTGTGCCGTTCAGGGGAAGGAATTGTGGCAACGAGTCGGGCCTAGCCCACGGCACATCTGCATACACGAGGTACGGGCGTTAGTACAGTGAACAATACATATGTGAGAGAAGAGTGTGCCTCACAAAACAGGCACGGGCGTTTAGAGGCTTCGATAAGATAAAGATTTACATACATACATGCACTAGAAAGGAAAAGGGAGAAAAGAGGTATAATAAATGCAACAGAGATGAAGAGAAAAAGAACGAAGAAGGAGATACAATAAAGAGAGGCGTGAATGGAGAGAGCGAGACAGGAGACGAAGAGGAAGACACCACACAGTACCTACTTACAACACAAGTACAGTGCACCAGTACCGACCCTGCTCCCCTCCACACCGTATCTACGGCCACCCCGGCTGATAAGGGACGCCAGTTCATTGACACCCAGCCCTCTAACCCGTGAACCACCCCCGAGTCCGCGGGCACCCGCCCGGTCCGCTCACCCACTCTCAGATAACGCGCTCACTCACAAACACTCAGCGCCACTCCGCGCAAACGCCCGTTTCCGACCGCACGCCGAACCAGCGGACAATTCCGCGAACGGGCTTTAAAAATATGTCAAGGCCACCCCATTGAGTCTTTAAACCAGCCGGCCGTGTCCCTCTGCGGCGCGGCGCAAACAGCTGGTGGTGCCCTCCCCTGCGACCGCAGTCCGTGCCATTAGCATGGCCCTCCACCGCTGCCGGCGTCCCTTCCGATCGGACCCTCCCCTCCGACCGGCGGCAGCGGGGGAGACTGGTATGCCGCGGCGGGCGGACGGCGGGCCTCCCGGCCGGGTTCAGCGCTCTCCCTCCCCTCCGTCCCCGCCCGCCGACTGACCGGTGACGGGCCGCGCTCGCCGGTCGGCCCGGCCGGCCCGCTGCGCTCCGTCCGGGGGTGGCTGACCGGCCGGTGCCGCTCCTCAGGACTGTCCGCGGGCCGCGGAGGGCGCCTCCTCCCGGCGCCGGGCCGCGCGCTGAAACCACACAGAGGGAGAGGGTCACACCGGCCGGCTGCGTCACATCCTGTGAGACAGACACGACGCTCCCACGGCGTGGGGTCCCCGGTCCGGCAACGACACCAGGCGGGCTCTCGGTCCCTGAAATCAGCCCCAGTCCTGAGTCCGACAACGGGCGGACCCTGGGTCCACGTCCACCACAGCATGCGGACCCTGGATCCCCGGCCCGACACAGGGAGGCCCCTGGGTCGCCGGACCTGCACAGGCAGGGCCCTGGGCCTGGGTCCTCGATACCGGCACTGCAATGGCCCTGGGTCTCCATCCCGGTACCGAGTGTGCCCTGGGTCTCCGGGCCGTGACCACACCTCCTAGCAATGCACCACTCCTGGATACCAACACATCACCCGCAACCAACAGAAGCACGGGGTGGTATGGTGCACCGAGAAAAGAACCTCAACAGGATGCTGAATGAGTAAGTGTGTGAACACGGAGGGCTGCTCGACCAAGTCCGGGACGACGGCTGCCGTAGCGACACGCTACTGGGAACGGCCACCGGGCCTCATCAGGCACCCCGGCGGTATAACGAGGGCAGTGGGTGGCTGACCGGCGGGCTTCTGCATATCATTGGCAACAGGCGATTAATCCCAGTTTACCTCCACTTCTCGTAGCGGTAAATATGCGCAAACTGTGAGCGATTCACGTGGTGTTGCCACGAGCTGAATTCATAGAAACTTATCCTTGGAGCTGAAAAATAATAAAATAAGATAAATATAATAAAGATAAAGCTCAGTGCTATTATCTCATACAGATGAAGTTAGAATAGAAGGGGTGGTTTCGCCAATCTTAGATCAGTGAGCAGCAGAGCCTTTCGCTGAGTTGTTTTATTTTGTTCATAAGTTCAACAAATCATAGCAAATGCCACTGTGTGTCGGTTTATGCAATACGACATAGCCAGGTGGTGTCTGTTACTGAGAGAAGCACCAAGGAACCCTCGGGGGAGAGGGTCAACCGTGAGAGAGCGGAGTGGCGATGAAGAGATCGGGAAATGGGGGTGTGGAACAGCCAGCCAGCTGGGGAAGACAGTGAAAATATACACTGAGAGGACTACGGACGGCACGGAGCAGGGGAGCTGACATGAAGCACACACAAGACGGATCCAAGAATGGTGGTTCCACGGCGGAACTCCAGTCACGCCGGATACGACCCGGGCGCGGACAGGACACCGGCCGGATCCGGACGGAGGGGGCGGGGTCTGATGACGTCACGGGGCACGGGATCCGGCCGACGGAGGCCAAACATCCGTCGCCGGCGGGCTGGCGGCTGGTGGGAGCCGGTCCGCGGTCGGCGGGGGCTCGACCGGGGACAGAGTCTGTGGAGCCGCACCGGCTACACAGAGCAGGCAGTCGACCGGGCGGCAGGTGAAGTTTCATTTACCCAACAGCCCAACAGATGGCAGCACGGGCGGTGCTGTGGAATTGACCCAGAACTTTGCGGTCCGGCTCGCCACGATCCAATAGCCGAGGATGAGGTCTGAATTAAGTGGAAAGTTGTTTGGGAAGCCTTCCGAAAAAGTATGATTGAGGGGAAGGAATTCATTATGGCGAAGTTAGGCTCGGCTGTGAAAAAGTCTGGGCATTTCGGAGCCGGCTGAGTCATGTTGAGAGTTAGGTGGGCACTGGAGGGAGGGTTTGAGTTGGGGCACCAGTCTCTAGTCCTGATGCTGGGCCGTGGGTGGCCCGTCATATTCCTAAAGCAAATTATTTATCTGCCCTCTCCGTTCAAGTCCATTGGGTTTCCTTCCTTTCCTCGTCCCTCTTCAGTCTTCACCCTTCGTAGCTATTCAGCCCGCCCAGTTTTACCGTTCAATCCATCCCCTCCCCTGTTGCTCTGTACCCGCTCACCACACATCCGCTCCATCAAATTCCTGCAACCTGCCCCCTCCCCCTATAGCCTCCCCTAACTGTAATGACGTCATCATTCGTCGCGCGCCTTGCGCGTCCGACGCGAGCACGATCGTTGCCGTTCCAGCAAGCCGCTCTGTTTTGCATTGAATCTAACGGCCACAAAAACACGTTGCGAAACTCCCCGCCGACGTGTGCCACAGCGATGACGTCACAGATGACGTCACTGTGCGTGGGATGGAAGGACGTGTGCGGTGGCACGTCCGAGTCTGAATGGTGGAATGCGAGCCAGCAATAGCGGCGGCGAGAGGGATTCGATTGGGTAGGGAGAAGGAGGAGGGAAGGTCACTGGTGTGGTCTCAATAGTGGCGCAGTTCAAGGTTAGGTATTTTGATACCAGGCCTACCTACTTTAGAGTGTAGACAGGATACGAACCAAACCAACCCAGCTAACAGGTTAGGTATCGAGTATAATGTTGTCAGTCATAATCGGGGACAGCGTGCAACGTAATGTCAGTGACATGGGGAATTGGGGATCGTTGAACAGCGCTCCAGGCTCATTCGTGAGCGCAATTGAGCGTTTTAGGTCATACAAAAAGAATCAAAATAAATGCCTACACCCCACGGCTCACGACATTATTTAATGTACTGACAACTACATATAGCATATGACATATAACTTGACGGGAGGACACCGACTAGATATAGCTGTCAAACTTACCGGCTGGTTTTGTCTCCGCCCAGACGGTCAGACGCCCTCAGAGACCGATATCTTGGCGACCCTGCCAAACAGAAACAAAACGAAAATCAGAATTCAGTCGCTAAAACTAGACAGAACAGTAAGTACATACTCAGACGCAACGGTACTCATTTGATAAATTTACAACGCACGTTATCTGCGTAGGCATTGGTAGATACAACACGTTTGTGAGAGCCCTGACCTATCGGGCTTATCTCAACACAAAGGCAGCTGATTTCCGCTTGATTGTTGCGGTACAACTGCACCACCGACTATCTTCCTGTAACTCAAGGGTTCACACAGTTCGCACGAGTTTACTTTCTACATGTCGTCCGGAAAAGGGGAAACATGAGCATTGAGCAATGAGTATTGACTGAGCAGTGAGCAACAAGTTGAGAAAATGTGGTAAAATAGTCACCGTTCACACATCGATCGGCGAACTTTCGTGAGAGCTTTAAGGTTACCAACGTACGCTACGAAGGGAGTCCGAAGGTTACCTACGTTGCAACATTCGTACTATCGAGTTCGTATAACTATCGAGCATGGGGTAGGTTTTACTGCATATAGCTTTATCTAAGTATGCCATGTCATGGAGCTCCTCAAACTGATCTGTATCCGTCGCGCGGGGGGATGGGGCTATAAGTAGGTACTTAGACAACAAACAGCAACTACGTGCACCAGCAAACCGCGTCCCTCGTCCGGATAATAAAACAATTAGCATTGTTTGTTGAGCACTCTAGCGGACCGAACGGCTGTATACCGGGGCTGACGCCACAAGTCTGACAGGGCAGTGCCGGCGCTCCTTGCTATAAGTTCAGACTTATGAAATAACAAAGTTCTGCGACTCACAAAGGTGTTGGAAATCGACCCAACGGCAAAAAAAAATCAAGCTGCTACGGTGACGCACAGCCGAGAAGGCTGTAAAGACTCTGTGTAAACGTGTCATAACTACCCACTAGGGTAGCCCGTAACAACGTTGCACGCTGTCCCCGATTATGACTGACAACATTATACTCGATACCTAACCTGTTAGTAGGCCGGGGGGATCCAGGGCGTCGCAAGTCCATCTACGACACGTCGCAAGTTACGACACATATGCCGTCGCAAGTTGTGTCGTAGCGGAAAAGGAGGGATGTTGAGGAAAGAGGGGTTTGTCGGAGGATACGACAGAACGTAGCTGCGACGAGGTTTAAATACCCGCTTTACTCGAGAATTTAAAAGGCTACACGATCAGCTGATCCCGTAGTAAACGTCAGTAAGGTCGAAAACTCTATCACGCATAAAGGAACATTCGCCTTTGTGGTTTGCGAGCTTATGAGACAGCAAGGTCAAGCATGTTCTCTGATTCTGAAGCTTTGTATTAACTGGGTGACTTGTGGTTGCTAACGCTCACGTGATTTGCCATAAAATTTGGGATCGATCACAGGAGATTCGTGGCTATAGGGCATCTAGAATCGATGCTTTAGAAGAAATGAGTTCCGAGAGTTTGAGGTCACAGAGAGGTAAGAAATTTGTAGATAGAGGTCACAATTGGAGGTTACAGAGGTCATCTGGGACACGTCAGGTCACAGATGTCAACTTGGGGTCATCACAGAGCTCAATTGGAGACCACGGAGGTAATCTGAGAAGTGAGACACGTCAGGTCACAGAGGGCAACTTGGGGGCACGTCAGGTCACAGAGGTCAACCTAGGGTCATCACAGAGCTCAATTGGAGGTCACGGAGGTCATCTGGGACACATCAAGTCACAGAGGTCAACTTGGGGTCATCACAGAGCTCAATTGAAGGTCATTGGGGCCATCTGGGACACGTCAGGTCACAGAGGTCAGCTGGGTGCCATCAGAGAGGTCACTTAGAGGTCACAGAGGTCATATGGGACACGTCAGGTCACAGAGGTCAACTAAAGGTCATCAGAGAGCTCAATTGGAGGTCATCTGGGACACGTCAGGTCACAGAGGTCAGCTTAGAGTCATTAGAGAGCTCAATTGGAGGTCACGGAGGTCATCTGGGACACGTCAGGTAACAGAGGTCAACTTGGGGTCATCACAGAGCTCTATTGGAGGTCATGAGGGTCATCTGGGACACGTCAGGTCACAGATGTCAACTTGGGGTCATCATAGAGGTCACTTAGAGGTTACAGAGGTCATATGGGACACGCCAGGTCACAGAGGTTAAGTTGGGGTCATCACATGAGCTCAAATGGAGGTCATCTGGGACACGTCAGGTCACAGAGGTCAGCTTAGAGTCATCAGAGAGCTCAATTGGAGGTCACGGAGGTCATCTGGGACACGTCAGGTCACAAAGGTCATGTTGGGGTCATCACATAGCTCTATTGGAGGTCATGGGGTCATCTGGGACACGTCAGGTCACAGAGGTCAGCTTGGAGTCATCAGAGAGCTCAAAAGGATGTCACGGAGGTCATCTGGGACAGGTCAGGTCAAAAAAGGTCAACTTGGGGTCATCACAGAGCTCATTGGAGGTCATCGAGGTCAGCTGGGACACGTCGTTTTTGGAATTGGGAGAATATTTTGGGGGATGCCCCTTGCAACGTCCAAGACCGCCTTTCTGGATTCGCCAGTGGTTGCTGGGATGGTGTTAGGCTACTTCATATCCCCGAATACCCAATAAATGTGAATATAACATATTATGCACCATTTTCAACACTCCCGCTGGCACGGATTGAGGCCTCATAGACGACCCGTCAGTTCAAGCTCTATAACTCGCGTTAGCGTCAACGGATTGCAACCAAATTTTCAGGATCTAAAGTTTAAACAATTTTACACCTACCATGTAAATTTCGTGACCATGACCCGAATGACCTGTGACCTGTGACCTCTTCCTCAAGACAAGGTCAACTTGCGACACAACTTACGACTGCTATTTCAAATTCGTAAGTTGTGTCGCAAATCAGGCTATTTGCGATAGACTTTACTACTTAAGTAACGCTACTCATCGATTGATCCCTTCAAAAACGACTTACTACACAACTTGCGACACGTCGCAGCTACGACGAGGCTTACGACGCTCTGGATCCCCCCAGCCTAGGTATCGAGTATAATGTTGTCAGTCATAATCGGGGACAGCGTGCAACGTAATGTCAGTGACATGGGGAATTGGGGATCGTTGAACAGCGCTCCAGGCTCATTCGTGAGCGCAATTGAGCGTTTTAGGTCATACAAAAAGAATCAAAATAAATGCCTACACCCCACGGCTCACGACATTATTTAATGTACTGACAACTACATATAGCATATGACATATAACTTGACGGGAGGACACCGACTAGATATAGCTGTCAAACTTACCGGCTGGTTTTGTCTCCGCCCAGACGGTCAGACGCCCTCAGAGACCGATATCTTGGCGACCCTGCCAAACAGAAACAAAACGAAAATCAGAATTCAGTCGCTAAAACTAGACAGAACAGTAAGTACATACTCAGACGCAACGGTACGCATTTGATAAATTTACAACGCACGTTATCTGCGTAGGCATTGGTAGATACAACACGTTTGTGAGAGCCCTGACCTATCGGGCTTATCTCAACACAAAGGCAGCTGATTTCCGCTTGATTGTTGCGGTACAACTGCACCACCGACTATCTTCCTGTAACTCAAGGGTTCACACAGTTCGCACGAGTTTACTTTCTACATGTCGTCCGGAAAAGGGGAAACATGAGCATTGAGCAATGAGTATTGACTGAGCAGTGAGCAACAAGTTGAGAAAATGTGGTAAAATAGTCACCGTTCACACATCGATCGGCGAACTTTCGTGAGAGCTTTAAGGTTACCAACGTACGCTACGAAGGGAGTCCGAAGGTTACCTACGTTGCAACATTCGTACTATCGAGTTCGTATAACTATCGAGCATGGGGTAGGTTTTACTGCATATAGCTTTATCTAAGTATGCCATGTCATGGAGCTCCTCAAACTGATCTGTATCCGTCGCGCGGGGGGATGGGGCTATAAGTAGGTACTTAGACAACAAACAGCAACTACGTGCACCAGCAAACCGCGTCCCTCGTCCGGATAATAAAACAATTAGCATTGTTTGTTGAGCACTCTAGCGGACCGAACGGCTGTATACCGGGGCTGACGCCACAAGTCTGACAGGGCAGTGCCGGCGCTCCTTGCTATAAGTTCAGACTTATGAAATAACAAAGTTCTGCGACTCACAAAGGTGTTGGAAATCGACCCAACGGCAAAAAAAATCAAGCTGCTACGGTGACGCACAGCCGAGAAGGCTGTAAAGACTCTGTGTAAACGTGTCATAACTACCCACTAGGGTAGCCCGTAACAGCTAAAGCGGGTCTCAGGTACCACTCTATGGCATATAATCGAATAGAAACCCCTGTAAGTGATCCCACCATTCCGGTGGGTAAGGTCAGGCGGCCGTCAGGACAGGGTGAACCAGTGACATTAACTTCCGATGGGTATCAGTGGCAGCAGCTATATCAATCGACTGATGAAAGGCACGTTGGAGAGAGATGGTAAACGTGAGTGGGGGTAGGGCAGTTGTCACTTCCGAAAGATGAGTTGAGTTCAGCAATTTTTTTGGCAATCAAGTGAGACGCTTACCCAACGTATACCCCTGAAGACTATCGACAGTAATATCTAGGTCTAGATAGATGATCTATATGGATGCACATTGCACAACTTCACATCTGCATAGTGCAGAGAGCACACTACAAGTCACAGAGTCCATTCGTCAGTTACAGGTCGCTGAGGAGGCGGACCCAGCGCTCCCTGTCTGTCATTGCTGAAGGATGACGCCAATGGCCCGTTTATTTGACGTCACTGGCCCGTTTAGATTGAGACGCCTTCGTACTCTGTGTACTCGCCTCTCAAATCACCGCCGGTCAATTAGGCGGTGTTGAACGGAGCGGGAAAGGACAGACGGAGCGCAAATCACCTGGCGAGACATCCAATTACTGAGAGGTATTCACTGGAGTGGATGGTATAGGAGGCGGACAGCGAGACAGACATCACGTCACGAAAACGACTTTAACAGTCCAAACGGACTCATCTGTCCGTATCAAAGTAACCACCATACACAAGGCTCGGTTTGTTCTACGAGTACATTGAGCGAGTACGAGTACATGGGTGTTGCAAGGACGTTTAGAGTAAAATATCAAAATTAACTACGAATAGTCGTCAACCGTCTCTGTCCCCGCTAATCGCCGCGCTCTTCCACTCTCCGCCCCCTCTGCCCGCTCCTGTGCGATACCAGAGCAGTGTCGAGCACAGCGCTCACCACGCCCGCCCGGACAGCCATACCACCCTCCGTCTGCACTAGTGATGCAAATATTTAACATACATACGAGCTCGCCCGTCCATCAGTTGCAGATGAGACAAGCACAATATCAAGTTCAATGGGCTTTTGAGACAATAAACACAGCCGAGTGTCGCCAAATGGTAAGTCGAATGATAGGGAACATGCGACTTTGACATCACGCGAAATAGCATTGGCCGCAGTCACTGCGGTATGGATAAGATGGAGAGGCGGACGAAGCCTTTTTTTTCAGTCGACTTCTTCCGTACAAATTGACAGCATCTACTCAGAGGAACGTTACAAACAACGGGTTCTCTTCGTCCTTAAAATTACAGCACATAGTCTTATGTTTTCGTGGCAGCGACATTCCACCTATACGTCAATGTGGTTAATTTTGAGGACGGTCCCGCACCTCTAATGTGCACTGTATCAGTCCGGGTGGGTCTTGCCGGCTGGGAAGGGAGGGGACACAGGACCAGCGGGCGGGGGGGGGGATGCAACGTGCCCTGCGCGAGCCATCTGCGTGCTCTGCACTGCGCCGGGGAGAGGGGGGGGGGTTGCGACAGAGTGGTGGTGCTCTGCTGCGTGCCCTGGGCCGAGCTGAGAGCGACACAGCGGTGTGGGGCCCGCCCCGGCGCACATTGTGATTTACAGACACGCGAAGGTCTGTAGAGATGTGAAGAAAAAAAATAATAGAGATGAAGTCAGCCGAGAGGACGCGTCAAGAGTCGACATGGATTGTCCGTTCTATGTGGCACAACACTTTTGCTGAAAAAAAGATAAATTCAAAACCGCCTTATTACTAGCGGCATCAAAACTTGTTATAGTCGACATTGAAACAAGAATCTTCAGCGCCAGATAAATAACAAAAGTCCCTGAGCACGGTAGGTACTAGGTATGTACCACGTTTGCCATTGAGCGATTCTAACTTTGTCTACGATCAGTCCAATCCCACAAGGTGCGATATTCTCAGCCCGCGACCTTAGGGCGTTGGAGCGGTCGACCTCTGCTGCCGCCGATGTAGCGGCGACCTGCGACGGACGGAGGAGGCAGCACAACTTATCGAGCGTCTGCTCCTGTGTCGAGTCGATCAGCGACCGGCGCACACACACGGGCCCGGCAGTCAGTGTCACAGGGGTGACTGTAGAGCGAACCGAGCCGACAGTTTCACGGAGCACGGTTCGAGTCAGTGTGTCACAGGGGTGACTACTAACTTCAGGGTGGGCTGGTCCGACCAGAGTCTAACTCCAGACGGACATCGGAGAGGGTTCAGTCATTCATAATTCAATGCTCAGAAATGTAGGTAGGTCCCAAAGCTTTATCGTTTGGCCGAGGGCGTGAATCATCCCATCCGGTTCCGAAATTGGCCCCTGTATCATCATCGTCAAATCATTATTACACCAGGTAACACCAACGACTGAAATGATTCAAAACAAATAACCTCGACCGCCCAGTGTCCATAATACTATATAGAACGGCCCCAGTTTCAAATGACTGTCATAATGTGGTTCGACACAAGGTCGAATAGCCGATCACAAGGCCGACACCGCCCTAAACCGAGACCCTAAAATAAAACCGCAGTATTTAGTGCCGTGTTTGTGTGGATGAACACAGGACTTAACCTTGGTGAAGCCGGCGCCTTAAAAGGTGCCGCTACCATCATTTGCTCGTGAAATTTTGCACAGGTTGGCGAGCATGATCGCTTTCTAGCGACGATAATCAATAATGATAAGTGAATGGCTTTCAGCATCTACCTTAGTCGCGCTGCTTTCCTACGGTGCCTTCTGTCCTCCATGACCCATGGTTCAACATCTCCCTTACTGCAAGAACGTAAACAAATAGTGTAACTAATTTAACAAGAATGTTTCGTGTATCTCTCAATATCGTGTAAGCAAACACATGGAATATCCAGTGGACCAGACGCCCCTAATTAGTCCGATGTCATGAAACATAACGAATGCAGCCTGCAATCCAATACTTGAGGTCTGAGGATCTGATATCCTGAGAGCCAACCCACAGATAAGGGCGATTGCTACAGGAGTGCCTAAGTGAAATTGGCGATCGATTTGGTGGGGATATAAACAAAAGAAATAAACTACATGGAATAGACGCAGCAGTTCACGCCATATCACTTTAGGACGCAGTCAATTCTCTGAGCAATGGTCTGCTTTGAGAGCGTCGTAAACCGTTATTCGTGAGCTCATCGAGCTAGAGAAGTACCGACCCTCAACTTCCTTCCAAGAGAACACTCTTCTCCAGCCTGTGAGACTGGTATCCCCACCAGTGCTGTATATACACCTGTCCTCTTGTTCTGCATCACCACCTGCGACATGACAATCAAACACAGCAAACAGCACTCACATCCAAGAACACCAACCGGCAAACGTCGCACCTCCACTCCCTTCGATCCCAGTCGTCAACAACATCCTGGTGACACCCCTCATCGCGTGAACCCAATCCTCGTCCCAGGGCGGCCTGACAGGAAGCATCACGACCTGACCCAACGTCTCGCCTCACCGACTGTCTGATTGGGCCGGTCCCGGTGGGACGGAGACCACAGTCGGACCTAGCAGCTGCCGAACCCCGGCGCCTCGCTCCGCACGACCTTGCCCGCTGGGGGCGGAAGGAACGGGCTGGCGCGCACGAGCGGCCCGCCGACTGCTCATGGTCGGGCGAGGTCGCTTCTGCGAACTGCCGCGCCGGAGGAGAGGGTACGAACTGGGGTGGTCGGCTGCAGAGGAGGGTAGAAGGTGTGAGGTAGGGAGTGTGGTGGCTGTGTGAGCGTTAAGGCTGAAACAGACTCCTCCGCATTCAGGAAATCGCATGCGAGAGCCTATTCAGATACATTGTAATTCTGCCCGCATCAATCGCATGCGGGAGGTGCGTACGATTTATGCGAGATTGCTGCCATGTATTTAGGCTCTCGGGTGCGATTTCCTGCCAGCGGAAAGTCTGTTTCAGGCTTTAGGGTACGCGTTGGTCGGTGAGCCAGTCCAGAGAAAGGGAAACACTATGAGGCACCATCGCATACGATAAGTCTGCAACGAGCCATGTGCTGTTTTACCTTACGGTGAGCTGAACTTTGCATAAACTTTTAA